CAGGGTCCGTCCCGTAGATCTACGGTTTTACGTTCAGGGTCCAAATCGTAGATCTACCCCAAAATTCTAGCGCCGTCAAATTTAGCATGAGAAGGCTGGTAGGCCTACATCTAAGAGAATGAGTCTGGGTGGTCAGTGTGCACACCATAGAAAAAATCTGGACGCCCACATGGCATTGTGGGAACGCCGGCAAAGTAGCTTTGTTCATAGTGCCTGGCGGCAAGATGCTCTCACTCCCCACTCACTCTCCAGGCGAATTCTGACTCTCCTCTTCACAACTTACAGTTCTAAGACTGATGGAAGTGGAGCTGAAGACGAATTCTATGGTTTTGAACCATATGGTACCATTGTGCCATATGGTACAATGGTACCATATGGTACAATGGTGCCATGTCATACAATGGTATCATATGGTACAATGGTATATGGTACAATGGTACCATATGGTACAATGTACATATAGTACATTGTACCATATAGTACATTGTACCATATAGTACAGTGTACCATATGGTACAGGGTACAGGGACCCTAATGGAAATAAATCTGTCTGACTTTTTTGGGTTATCCTAGGTTCTCCAAACATATGCTGCTAAGTATGATATTCTATGACTCACGAAATTGTAATGACATGACCGCGGGTTCAATCCCGGCCGGGGTATGGTTTATGATATTCTATGCAAGTTTATTTGTGTATAACTAAATAAACTTACTTACGATGCCACATGCACTTGAGTAAGTTTATTCAGGTGTACAGAAATACAATTACATAGATTATCATACATAGTAGCATATGTATAAAATCCTAGGGTAACGCAAATAAGTCAGGGTGACTTATTTCTATAGTTATCCCTGTATCTGTACCATATGGTACCCTGTACCATATGGTACCCTCACCATATGGTACCCTGCACCATATGGTACCTGACCATTGGTACCCTGCACCATATGGTACCCTGCACCATATGGTACCCTGCACCATATGGTACCCTGCACCATATGGTACCCTGTACGATATGGTACCCTGTACCATATGGTACCCTGCACCATATGTTATCCTGTACTGCATGGTACCCTTTACCATATAGTACAATGTACCATATGGTACCCTGTAACATATACCGTGTACCATATGGTCAACAGGTGTTGGTGGCATGAGACACCAGCCAAGACTGAGTGAGTGGCGATGCATGCTAGCTACTGACTCTGCAGTTTCCGAGACAAAGTGCTTTGTCATCCACCTCAAGGAACACGTAAAGTTCCTGTACACTTGTAAATATATAATAGAACATTACTAATATACAACATTTTTGCATATTTTTGTTGTAAACAACTATTGTAACCAAAATAATAATGAAAATATTAGTGTGTTGAACACAACAGTACCATATGGTACAATGAACCATATGGTATCATTGTACTGTATGGTACAATGTACCATATGGTACCATTGCATCATATGGTACCATATGGTACCATTACACCATATGGTACCATAAGGTACCATTGCACCATATGGTACCATTGTATCATTTATTTATTTATTTTTATTAACAATTTGAGCACACATACAGAGGTACAAAAAAATACAGATAAGAGCAGCATGCCAAAGCCACTTATACTATGCATAGCATTACGGGCTGGCTTAAAATTAACTTAAGATTAACTAAGCAATGATGAAATCAGTGATAAAACATTAATGTAAACAGATTACTATAAAGCACAAGTGAGTATTACAAAGACAGGTCATATGGTTGCATGCATTGTTGTACATTCAGTCGTATGGAGTATTCTGTTAGGTAGTATATTTAAAAAATAATAAAGTTAGATTGGGTTTTAGGTTTAACATTTATGTGATATAATTGTGAGAAACATTTAAGATATACAATCTATAAGGTTCAGTTATTCAGTATTTATTTGGTTTTGGGTGAGTAAGTGATCTTTGAGAAGAGACTTGAATTTATAAACAGGTAGTGTTTCTTTTATATTTACAGGTAATGAATTCCAGATTTTAGGGTCTTTTATGTGCATTGAGTTTTTGCATAGTGTGAGATGGACACGATGGTACCATTGTACCAAATGGTGCCATTCTACCATGTGGTACCATTGTATCATGTGCCATTGTGCCATATTGTACCATATGGTACCATTGTATCATATGATGCTATTGTACCATATGGTACCATTGCACCATTGCACCCTATTGCACCATTGTACTATATGGTACCATTGTACCAAATGGTGCCATTCTACCATGAGGTACCATTGTATCATATGGTACCATTGTATCATGTGCCATTGTACCATATTGTACCATATGGCACCATTGTACCATATGGTACCGTTGTATTCAACACAATAACCGCACTAATATTTTCATCATTTTGTTTACAATAAACTTGTAAACAAGTTTTGTAAGCATTATAATGATAAACAAATTAGTGCAGTTATTGTGCTGAATACAATGAGTGTACACTTATACAATATACATTATATTGGTCTCACAGGCCACAAATGTTATTAGAAAAAGAAAAAATTAGAAAAGAAAAGAAAAAAAGTATAAAAAAAACATAAAATAAAAAAATGGGATTTTGCGGAAGTCACTGATGTTGCCGCCACCCAGTCATTTTGGGTCAACTTCCCACCGCTGTATCTCGGTAAGTACTGATCAGAAAAAACTTTTTTTTGTCTTATTACCTTCACAAAAATATACTCTTTAATTCTGTAAGAAAAAATTTTTTTTTTTTTTTTCAAAATTTCTTGGACACTGGAGCACCACTTCAGATTTTGGCCTTGGACCCTGAAGGGGTTAATTTCACCTTGTATATATATATTTATTCTTCCTCAGAATCTGTAGAGTGCATGAATACAGATCGATCGATCAATTCCATCTCATATTGTACAATGATTTGTTCTTATAGTTTGTAATGCATTACGTTAAAAATCATTACGTTAACACCCATTACGTAAAACTCATTTTGTAATATCCATTATGATACCATCCATTAGTTCTAAGTTATATATGAATTTGTTATTGTATAGAATCAGCCCAGAACCACCTGCCTGTTCAGCCCATAGGATAGTAGTGTATGTCGAGACGACATACGTAACATGACCGAGCTGTCAGCATAGTTGCTGATCCCCTTATATGTGTTGTATAGCATATCATAGTACCATCCATGTGTTTATATAGAAGATCCCTTTTAGGCCTGTGACTGTTTGTGTGACGTCACGGGATGCACATGTGTACGTTCGTACCTCTGCCTCCCTCTCAGTCGGCGTGTAGACATAGGCAGGACAAGGCAGGCTGGGGGCTCCATCTCCCATTACCACAGTCTGACAATATATCGTTACCATCCAACAAGTGTGTCTACCTTCTACCCTCGATATCTCCTTTTAAGAACCCCTACGATAACACTTATAACAACATTTATTTCCTCAAGTGTTGTTAATGTATGAAATATTGTATTAAAGTACAGTGGACCCCCGGTTAATGATATTTTTTCATTCCAGAAGTATGTTCAGGTGCCAGTACTGACCGAATTTGTTCCCATAAGGAATATTGTGAAGTAGATTAGTCCATTTCAGACCCCCATACATACACGTACAAACGCACTTACATAAATACACTTACATAATTGGTCGCATTGGGAAGTGATCGTTAAGCGGGGGTCCACTGTACAGTACTTTAGTAAATTAAAATACAAGATAATTTGTTTGCAATTTAAATTATATTTACAAACACTGTGGACTAAGAAAACTGCATTCATTCATTCCAAAGTGAATCTGAACAGTCAGTCTCAAACAGAAGTATTTATTTATTTCACATGACAAGTATGTAAGGAGATGGAGGCCAGGCAGTGAAAGGTGCAATGTTCACAATCCCTTATTTGCTTGAAACTCACAGAACTGTATGTCAACAGTAACTATAAGATGAGCATTTAGTAAAATTCATGAGACAGGTCACTGGTGAGGGGCTCTTGAGCCAAGAAATAGGATTAATCCTTCCCTTACTTGGATCGAACCTGATTGCCTCCCATTTCCCAGGCACTATATGGTCCCTACTGATAACATTCATTATACAGTATGTAATTCATTACATTACCTTTGCTGATTATAACAAAATGTGTAATAAGCGAATCAGTTGCTGACACATCCACAATGAGTGTGTAGCATATGCGTGCAGTGCATAATATAATATCTCAAAAAGATACTGATTTTTAAGGATGAAGTTGTGATACAGTGGGTACACAGTATTTTAAAAAATCAAATATAATGGTTAGTAAGTATAAACAGCAGTTCAGAGAACATGCAAAACATCTTGAAACCATGCTTAAGTTTGTCAGAATAAAGCAATGACTCAAGACTTCAAAACAGTGGAAAGTCAAGCTAATCCTACTTATACAATTATCACTCTTACATAACATGTAAAATTGTCAAAGAATGGAGCATTTGTGAGTAGTTAACTAAAAATACCTTGTTCACTACTGATATGCTATATCATTTGTGATGGCTATTTGCTACGGTAGAGACTGCTTGTCACACACCAAGCAGCATTAGCTTATTGTAGGAAAACATTAATTATTCCCTTTATCTTTCCTGCTCAATGTATTCTTGATTCTCTTAATATACTTATCCTTTACTATATACAGATTTAGTACTTGCTCAAACTTACTAACATATTAAAATTAAGCAGAGAAAATTTCTCTTGTGAATTAGATGCATCAACATTTACTTTCAAAGTGGCAAAGTTTTCTGCACCTAAGTAATAATGATATAAGCTTGTAAAATTGAAGAGATTATTAGTGTATAGTGGATGATATAATCACAGATTGTAACACTACCATTCTTTATGGATCTAACACGAGGAAAGACACACTGAATACACACTGGGAAATAAGCATAACTAACTTGGACATGTTCCACTGTACATGAAGTCTTGACACATATAGAATATATGGATGCTACTTGTGCTGGCCCATTCACAGCTTGTAACTTACCTCCACCTGGATTCATATTTCTGCCTGATGTGCCCCAAGAAAAAAAAAAAAATGAAGCCAAATTATATATCTGTGGAGTCTAAATTCATGACAAAATGAAATGATGGTTTAGAAAACCTATTGTTTAGCAGTGATGGCATAGCTATAAGTGCATTAACAAAAGTCAATTTATTTGTTTACAAACAAGTTACCACTATATCCAAAAGATAATTATATAAGGTGTGTTCTTTTTGTAAAAAATTTCAACTAAGAATACAAATAAATTACAGTACAGTCAGCTCTCCAAATCTGCAGTGGTTACATTGCTTGAGGTCTCCCTGGCAGAAGCCCAGCTGAGAGAGTAATCTGTTTGTCTCACACTTAGCTGATGCAAGATGGAGCCTCCTTCACTTCTTGAGCTGTATGACCAAAACTTGTTAACTGCTTTGCATAAAAATAATACAGTAATTTTTTTTTTCCCAGAGGTCCCTGTAAATTCAGAAACAGCAAATACTAATGCAATGTTATCTTTCACATTCTTTATAAAATATTTCTTGTACAGTACACATATAAAATGCACTACTGTTTAACCTTGCTTACCATTAAAAATGATGATGATGATTATACATATAGATGATGATGATAATCATTCATGAGAAGTCAAATCGATGAGACCTCACTCTTGAGGCACTAGTTTTGAAGGTGACTGAGTTGGTTGAATGGTTGTGGTAAAAAAAAAAATGTGCAGGACTATTGGTTGACTAAATGCTGAAACTGTATGTCAAGCTCTTTCCTTGGTAGCAAGGCATCTTCCACTGCTCTCCTGAACTTCAGGCTCCTTTCCATCAATTGACCTTCCTTAATAAACAACTCTGCAGCAGCTGTTATGTAGGACCCACACTCAGAAATAGTTTTTAGAGTAATTCTGTTCATCTCACTTTTTATTCATCTTCACTGCTGTCTTTGTCCTCACTTGATTTTATTATGTCCTTAACACTTAAACTAAAAGATGGGAGCCATGACAGTCCTGCTCTAGGGATCTTTTTCTAAAAATAAATAATAAATTATTTTGTGTTAAATGATTGCAGAAGTACACTACAAAAACCTAAAAGGGACCAAAAAGTTGTTTGAAGGCTTAAAACAGTGGATTATGAGGAAATATGAGTGCTTTAATTTTTTGAATGCTGTATATAAGTTGCATAATGTTGGCAACCTGGATGTACTATACATACACAGTACAGTAGGGCCCCACTTATATGGCAGGTTAGGTTCCAGGCTGCTGCCGGAAAGCAGAATGCTATTTTTTCCACTTATAAATGCATATAAATGCCAGATAACAAGTTTACACTAACATATATTAAGTTATCAATAGAACTAGGCATTAAAAACAATAAATGGTAAAATACACACACAGCACACCCATGACTTACCAAAAATATTTGTAGTCCTAATGTAGGGTGAGAGGTGAGTTTTATTTGTAGGAAGTCAGGTTTGAGAGGTATGATAGCCAGCCAGGTCGGCCCATCCCACTCCACCCACATGTAATATGCTACGACATTTAATTAAAGCACTCCAGAGCGATGAAATACATGTACAGTATATTCATTAAGTTGGCCATTTCCCACTGAGGCAGGGTGACCCAAAAAGAAAGAAAATCCCCAAAAAGAAAATACTTTCATCATCATTCAACACTTTCACCTCACTCATACATAATCACTGTTTCTGCAGAGGTGCCCAGAACACAACAGTTTAGAAGCATATACATATAAAGATATGCAACATATCCCTCCAAACTGATAATATCCCAAGCTCCTTCAAACTGCAGGCATTGTACTTCCTATTTCAAGTACTCAAGTCCGGCTATATAAAAGTAACCAGTTTCCCTGAATCCCTTCACTAAATATTACCCTGCTCACACTCCAACAGCTCATCAGGTCCCAAATACCATTCGTTTCCATTCACTCCTATCTAATACACTCACGCATGCTTGCTGGAAGTCCAAGCTCCTCGCCCACAAGACATCCTTTACCCCTTCCCTCCAACCTTTTCGAGGACGACCCCTATCCCGCCTTCCTTCCCCTACAGATTTATACGCTCTCCATGTCATTCTACTTTGATCCATTCTCTCTAAATGACCAAACCACCTCAACAACCCCTCTTCAGCCCTCTGACTAATACAGTGGACCCTCGGCTAACGAACGCATCGCATAATGTTAAATCTGCCTAACAAAGAGTTTGAGTGTAAAAATTTTGGCCCGCCTAACAATAAAAAACTCACCCAACGTCATTCATCCTGAACCTGTTTGTCCAGTCTGAGCGCCTCAGCTGCCCTGCTGTCATTGTTTACAAGCCAAGGTGGCAGGTTTCATGCATACATTCAATACATTTTGTATTATTGCTTGTAACTGCTAAATAAGCCACCATGGGCCCAAAGAAAGTTTCTAGTGCCAATCCTGTAGAGAAAAGGGCGAGAAATACTATCGTACCACGGTCAGCTGCTGCTGCACCACCACCATCAGCTGTTGCTGCACCACCGTCAGCTGTACTACTCGAAGCTGTGGAGAGACTGTTGTTGGTGTGGCTTAACGAGAAACAATTACCGAAAAACAATTAATCCCAGAGGGTTAGCCACCCAGGATAACCCAAGGAAGTCAGTGAGTCATTGAGGACACAGACTCTGATAAGTTTCAAACATACTATACCAATAAAGGGGTAACCCCAAACAGTTGTCAACTAGTAAGTGTATCTCATGACTTCATTCAAAAAGAACTAAGCAGGTTAAACCCAACTAAGAGCACAGGCCCTGATAACATCCCGTCTAAGTTCCTAAAAGATGGTGCTTCTGAACTGTCAATCCCTATTGCTCACATAATAAATATATCAATCACCACTAATACCATACCGGAGGGGTTCAAGGAGGCCAGAGTTACTCCTATCTTCAAGAAAAATAATAGGTCTGATGTAAGCAACTATAGGCCTGTTAGTAAAACTCAGTATAATATCTAAAATTCTGGAGAGGGGGGTGAAATTCTCAAGTAGTTAAGTACCTTAATGACAACAGCATTCTCCAAAGCTATCAATCGGGTTTTAGAAGATCCTACTCAACCGACACCTCCCTTATTAATCTGATGGATTACCTGAGAACTGAAATGTCAAAGGGGAACCTCATAGGTATGGTAACCTTAGACCTGCAAAAGGCCTTCGATACTGTCAACCACAATATATTATGTAAGAAACTTCAAGCTATCGGTATAGGTTCTGTAGACTGGTTTAAGTCCTACCTTAGCAACAGGAGACAAATAGTCAAAACCAACAAAACGGAATCAGAACCCCTGCGATAACATGTGGAGTTTTCCCCCAAAGGGAGTATTCTGGGTCCCTTATTATTCTTATGTTATGTCAATGATATGCCTATCAGTGTCAAGTGCAAACTCCTACTGTATGCAGATGACAGTGCTCTGTTAGTGACAGGTAAAGACCCACAAGATATTGCTAATGTTTTAAACACTGGAACTGGAGTCCTGCAGCAAATGGTTAGTAGACAACAAACTATCTTACACCTAGGGAAAACTGAAGCCATTCTCTTTGGCACGAAACATAAACTGAGAAGGGTAATTAATTTTAATGTTCAGTGTAATGGGGAGCCCATCACTTTGGTTTCATCAGTAAAATATCTGGGAATCCCCTTTGACCCATGCATGTCAGGAGAATTGATAGGGAACAGTGTAGTAAAGAAAGCGAATGCCAGACTGAAGTTCCTGTATAGACAAGCACAGTGTCTACCTACTGAGGCTTTGCAGGACCCTATGTCTAGCCCTTATACAATGCCATATGGATTACGCTTGCTCTTCATGGTACTCTGCCTTGACAAAAAAACTGAAAGATAGACTGCAAATCACCCAGAACAAAATCGTAAGATTCATCCTGGGGCTGGGACCAAGAGAACATGTAGGCCAGGATGAATTACAGCAGTTGGATATGCTGAATGTTGAAGACAGAGTAAAACAACTGAAGCTAAATCATGTTTATAAAATTGCTCAAAAACAGTGTCCAGAATATCTTGCTGTCAATTTTGTCAAGGTTGGGAACCAAAGCAATCATAGTACATGTACTAGGGGGAGAGAGCACAACTTTGTAGTACCCACAGTCATTGGACAGGCATCAAACACCTTTTATTGTACAGCAATAAAGGAATGGAACAGACTACCTGCACATGTCAAAGCCAGTAATAGCATGAACCAGTTCAAGAAGAGTGCCAAAAGGTGTCTGATGAATGTAGCTACAGAAAGGGAGGGGAATGATTTTCTATTTTTTAGCTAACATACGTGTAAATTTTACCTTATTCCTAGTATTGTAGATATCTTAATGACCCTCGTGTAGTAGATAGTCTTTTTAGTATGATAATAAGATGTTATCTTCATTGTAGAATAATAAGAAAATATTATAACCTTTATATTATAATAATAAGGTAAAAGGACCCCAATGGAAATAAGTCACTCTGTCTTACTTTTTTGGGTTATCCTAGGTTCTCTACACATATGCTGCTATGTATGATAATTCTATGTAACTGTATTTGTGTATACCTGAATAAACTTACTTACTTACTTACTTATTACTTAACTTATTTCCACTGGGGTCCTTAATCTTGTCCCCCAGGATGCAACCCACACCAGTCGACTAACACCCAGGTGAACAGGAAAAAATGCCTGGAACTAGTGCTCATATTGGTGAATTTAAGGCCAGCAAAGGTTGGTTTGACAGATTTAAGAATTGTAGTGGCATACACAGTGTAATAAGGCATGGCAAAGCCGAAAAATTCCAACCCTGACAAGTGTTGAGTTGTGACGAAACAGGCCTGTTCTGGAAGAAAATGCCAAACAGAACCTACATTACTCAGGAGGAAAAGACACTCCCAGGACACAAGCCTATGAAAGACAGGCTAACTTTCTTGTTTTGTTGTTATGCTAGTGGGGATTGCAAAGTGAAGCCTTTACTTATGTATCACTCTGAAAATCCCAGAGTGTTCAAGAAAAACAGTGTCTCAT